GTTTTATGTATTTGAAGAGTGTTAAGATTGTAATCTTACTTTATGTTCGTAATGCTCACCTTCTACAAAATGCATTCCAAGAGCTTAACAAAACGTGTGTATCTGGCTTTCTGTTGATTCTGTTTTCTCTTGCTTGTTTGGACCATTTTTGAAATAAATAATAACGGTTTTTCAAGTTGTTTGTGGTCGAAACGGCTCATGTTATGGCAAGGTTTCAATGGCGATTAAAGACGATGAAGGGCAAATGACCAGTTATCTTTCAAGCTAGTTTAGGTAACACAAAAATGACAGCGTTACAGTTTGTCAAAACGTAGGTATGCTACGCATGCAAGAGTTTTTCTCGGATGGGTGAGTTAAGGTCTCTTTCGGTATTTAAAAGAAAAAGAAACAATGATGCTAGAAGGTAGTGTAGCAGAAAATTGCTACTTATTCACACGCAAAGTAGCAAACTTGCCGCTTCGCACATTCTGACGAGTAAGCTGCTCTACCAGAGAAAGATTCCCCCAGAAAAGTGACTGACATTCAAATAATATTCATAATGGTAATTAATAATAATATCAATAATAATAACAATAATAATAATAGTAGTAATAATAATAATGACAATAACCGTAACAGTGATAATAATTAAAATTATGATGATAATTGTAGTGACACCATTGTCGTCACAATTTATGGAAAACGGATCGATAGTTTGTTAAAGAAATCTGTGCATAATATGCAAAAATTATGTAATAAAATCAAAATTATTTCACCACAACTTCTAATGAAAATTTGATGTTAACATGAACAAAATGAAATGTTTGACATACACAGTGCAGGTCGAAGATGAGGGGACATCGCACACCACCTTGCTCACGTAATACGCGTATACGTATATTGGTATATAAATACGCGTATGGCCTCGTATGTATCTTCGCTATTCGAAGCCATTCCAATAACAAGCTTGCAAGTCGCTAGATAATTATAAAAATATCGATAAAAGTCGAGAGCAGACTGCGGAACAACGGGAGGTTAAATCATTAGCATCGGCTATTCTTTTTTGTAAAGTTTGGAAAATAACTCCAGAACATTGATCATTTGCTAGAACAGTACAGCGGGCGTTTTAAAACAACCCACTCTCGCTCGCTTCTCCCCTAATAGGACACAGTTGGACGACATATTTAGTAAAGCTAAAATCCTCGCAGATGAGCTTTACTCTAAGCAATTGCAGAAAGAAAGCCTGGAGAAAATCAGGCTTCGACGGAATTCGACCCGTGATTTTGCATTTTGCGTCACAATGACCACTGAGAAAATATCTTGGATTATGTGTTTACTGGAAATTTTTTTAATGGAACAAAGCTTAATTATAAGTAACAGGTAACTAATTTATTGTAGCGGCAAAAAACGCTTTAAACACAAGAAGTAAATTATCGATTAAATATGATTTATGCAGATGCTCTGCGCAATTTTTTACCAGTGTCAGCAAAACTATGATACGTTCGTGTTAGGCCATCAGACTGACAATGTTGAAATTGAAGAGGTACACAAAACACGTTTCAACTTTTTAATGATAGAAAAGTTCCCTCTCAGTCTTTCAAGCCCCAACAGATCATAGCGGCAAGGTCCTCACGAACTTGATGGGTAAGATGACAATTCTAGAGGGCGTGAATGTTGGGTAGACTCGCAGTTGCAATATTTTACGGCACTCTAATCCCATTAAAGACAAGGAGAGCAATTGATTAACTCTCTGACAGGAGCAAGCATACCTTAATGCTGTAATCTGATTGGTGCGAGCAACATACGTTAACATTGGGTTACTATTTTTTTAAATTAAATCCCTTCTTTCCCCTGCTGCTTGCAAAGTAATGCCTTATTTGTTTAGATCTTGACACCCCAACGTCACTGTACTGTTCTCCATGCATCCCTTACGGTGCTGACTAGGAGAATTTGTATAGAGGCTAGGGTTGAAAGAGTTAAATCTTAGTAAACTTGTCTTGAAAGTTAATTTCCTTTTTATCTCGGTTAAATGACTAAAATCCCCTCCTATTTTGATTGTCAATTCTTGACTCAAGTATTCAGTTCATGGACGTTGAAATGGCAGTTTAGAGTCAAATGTAGCAATTAATGAATGAAATTTGGATATCAAAAGTTCGCAGTCAGAAATTCAGGACGTAGGAGACTTATAAATCGCAAATCGTAAATTAGAAGTCCGATAATGGAGGTTATGAAACTATACGGCAATGGTCGGAAGTAAAACTCCGAAATCGAATGCCTGAAATCCGAAGTCTGAGGTCGGAAATTAGAAGTCCGAAGACATAGGTGCTGAGAGTTTTTCGTGTTGTCTTTGGTAGACAAATAGCACAAATGGGGCGATGGACAGCGTAAAAAGTAGTTTAAAAATTTCTCAACAACAAGTTAATAAAAGTGCATAAAGTTCATAACACTTAAGCTTTCCTGTGTTCATCAGATATCAATCAAGTTCAATGTCGTTCGAGCTGGCCATTAAACTTCAGTAATCGAAAGTCTGAGACTCAAACTCGTTGCCATCTTTAGTGCGTACGGAGATAAATAAATTCGCTAAAATAGTTCATTCAATTCACCGTTGAATATGATTCAATTATTGTCTTCGTCCTTCGAAACCCAAAAAATCTTTCAACAATCTTACATCTCTTTCATTTTTTAGATAAGTTTTCGTTTTCTAAGATGAACTTCAAATGTAAAATAGTTCAGGGATGGGTGGAGGTTGAGGTTGAGGCTGGGGTTGAGGTTGAGCATGGGTTGTATGTTTTATTGTTTATGTTTGATTTATTTTAATTATTTCATTTTTATTCCTTTATTCAGAAGGTTTCAGATTCAACTATTTATCCTTTATCATCTAGGCAAACTTATATATTCGATTACTTATCATTTTCCTTTTTGACGATTACATGATACATGTTGAGACACTGAATCTTTAAAAACTGCCTCCTCCTTCATGATCAGATGATGCATAAACATTGCAACGATTACACCGCTTCCTTGTTGATAACGACTTGATGCATAGACACCACAATAGCTGCTTCTTTGTTGACAAACACACGATGCATAGAAACCGCAACTTTTAAACTTCTTCCTAGTTGACAAACGCATGATGCATAGACACCGCAACTTTAAAACTGCCTTCTTGCTGATTAAAAAAAATGATGCATAGAAACCAGAACAACTTTTAACAAAACGATGTTTCCTTGTCGAGAAACGCATAATGTAGGCACCACAACTTTTAAACTGTTTCCTTAGTGACAAACACATGATGCATAGAAACCACAACTTATAAACTGCTTCCTTGCTATCAAAGGCCTGATACATTGACACCACAACTTTTGAACTGCTTTCTTGTTGACAAACACTTGATGCATAGACACTGCAACTTTTAAACTGCTTCCTTGTTGACAAATGCATTATGCATAGAAACCACAACTTTTGAACTGCTTCCTTGTTGTCATGATCAAGGGCATGATCCATTTACACCGCAACTTTTGAACTAGAAGTAAAAGGCGGGTTTTTAATCCAAACCCTGCAAAGAAAAACAGGAGAAGAATGTGATATCACGGAGGCAAAGACACATAAGACACAGACTGTCAGTTTGAACAAAGTTTCATTTGATCAGCAGGAGCAATGTAGATTAATTCGATTCAAATATTTTATTTTATCGCACAACCAGTTAAAACTGTTTTTTACTCTTATCCGTGCGTGTCGATGAGTGCGTTTTGAGCTCGAGCCTTTGTAAGCTGCGTGTTTTGAATGTTGACTTTTATAGGAATAAAGGCAAGTACGTCTGTAATGACAGTTTTCGAACTCGTCGTATCCTGTTGGCTGAAATATTTTAGTAATCATGTCGACACGTTTGTGTTCTGCGGCGGAAAAGTAGCTTGTAACAAAAATGCCTAGCCTTTTTAAGACGTTATAGTTTTTGTTATTACTGTTTTTGTTTCCTTTTTTCTTTCAATTTGAGTCTGTCAGTTTTGCGAAAATAAGTGGTTGGTGATTTTTACTATCCCGTTACTCTAGAATGAAATCTACGTTACCGTTTGCTTTCTGTCATTCAGTAGTCCTCCATGGGCAAGTTGTGCTTTTCAAGCTGAAAAGAAGAGTATTTGAAGTAAATGACTTGTGCCACAGTTGCATTCATCAACCAATGCAAAGGACGATGTTTAGCTTCAGCTAATATCTTCACTACAACCACAAAGATACACGTATTTTCTAACTTATACAGCTTGTACATACTTCATTGACAATGGGTATATCTCATTCCATCCTTACCTGGACAGATAAGCAGCACTCTTTGCATGCAAAACTTTGCTGATTGGTCTCCTCATTGCCGTCTTATTTGGGCTGACTGCTTGAGGTTCGAATCCTCAAAAGGGACTCAGATTGTATTTCTTTTCTCTGTGTCTATCCTATATATGGTACCGTTAGCGTTCCGTGATCCAATTTGTCCGTAAGGATTGAAATGCCTCTTACTGAGTCGATCCTCAAGCTGAAAAAGAAGATTGCTTAAAAAAGGTCTAAATATCTTGAAGTTTTCCTCTTAAGAAATGACAATTGGAAAATACAGCTAACTAATGATTAACACGGGTTCTCTTAGCTGCGGAGTATCACTGTGTTATTTCCTTCCCAAGAAGCTGAGACGTAATAAGGTTTGTCAAGAGATAACTCGCAGGAGAGTGAATGGAAGGTATGCTGAAAAATTATATCAGTATTAGGTAAAACTGTATTGATCATACACGATTGTCTGGTGATCAAAGAAACCAATCACGAGTGCTACATACGTAAAAGCTGGTTTAAAAGCGAAGGCACTTAAAAGCGAAGGCACTTAAAAAGCGTGTTACTGTATTTACCATAAGTGGTAGGGTCTTTCGACCGCTTAGGGGTACAGCTGATATCAATGGGAAACTCTTTGTAATATTTTTCTTACATTCGTTTCAGTATAAGGTCAACTTAATTTTATCTTATCCTAGTCAGGTCGTGTTGACATTGCCATGACAACTTGTATTGAGATACGCCGGCCACTGTTACAGGAATCAGCCGATTGCTACTGGCACTTTTTTCCAGTTGGACAAAGACAAAGAAATCCGTATCATGTAAAACTCTTAGCACTGGCTTTCAGTTTGTTGTTGCTATGGCAGCTAGTTGGTGCATTTCTGTACATGGTTCGTGATGTTGCTTGCTTCCGGGACAAATCCACTGCATATCAGTGCAAAACAGATGCGGCTTTCCCTTTTTCAGAGGATGTCACGATGGTGTGGCTGGCTTCGCTATGTATTTTCACCGCTATCTCTATAGCTGCCCTTCAGAATGTTCCGCAGTTCCCCGGTTACAAGGCAATCTTACATCAGCTCAAATACGTTCCTTCATTTTGGACTTTAATAATCCTTTTAACCGTCGCCTTGTTTCGATATGTTAAGCTACTAATTTCTATCAAATCTTTGTCATCTTGGGTCGTAATTGTTTGCTTAATAGTAAGTTACATTCTCAGAACTTTCGTTGTGGGATTTTTAAATTACACCAGGTTGAACTCCTTAAAGCATAAATATCCCATTTACATTTTAGTTATATCTAAACTAACAGTGTTCTTGTTTTTCATTGGTACCTTTATCAATATCATGGCTACCCTTTTAGCCCTGAGTGTGGAAATCCGCGAGATGCATAAAACAGATCGAGCTAAGAACTCGCTCGATTTGAATTTGGATACCGTAAACGAACTGCTGGAGGTCTTTGGTACAACCACTTTTAGAATTAAGTTAATGAAATTCTTTTGGGAAAAGTTTTTCATCGACGACAGGAACATTCTTTGTTTCCATATACCTTTGGAGTGAGAAAGACAGCGAAAATCGAAAGAGTTTCATTCTCGTCCTCAGAGTCACTCGTTTTCGCTTACCCTGATCACATGACCAGCTCACTGAAATGATTGCGCTCACTTGGAGCGTAAAAAGTTGTTGCCTTTTTTTTTTACAATTCCTGCTTCTTGTTGTTACGCCTTACCTATTATGTAGATCAGTTTTTCAGCGATTCCATATCGTTTGAACTAAATGTTTTAAAACTTTCCTTCTAGTTAAATGTTCTAAATTTGTATAATTTATTACCTTGTTTTAATTGTTAATGTTGGAACAGTGCGACACATGAAAGACGCAGTGTGTATTTTGAACCACAAAGCCATAATTTCGTCATACTATACAGCAGAAGCTCTCTACTTCCGGTTTTCTGTGTCATCTACTTCAAGCTTGAGCCTTGGTTTTTCCCGTGAAAAAACAACTCCTAATATTAGACAGCAACGCTGTCGGCAAGTTTGTAGTTTGGGAAGTTGTCTTGAGATTTCGCGTTCGATAACGCTTCTGTTAATTTTATTTGGACCTTACCAATCTTAATGAGTTCCTTTGAGACATTCCCAGAACGGATTGAGGTGGCAAGGTTGTAAAAAAAGCTTATAGAACAGTCAAACGTCGCGTCCGTTTACCCGACAGGGTGACTTCATCTGGTTGTGAAGGATCTTTATACATCGGCTAAATGCCTTTATTTTGAGCTTAGATTAACTCTTTTGACGAATTTTCTTTGATTTCTGGTGTTGCGAAAGTCTGCTACAACTACCAATGATTGCTAACTTTAATTTGAATACTTCGTTGCAGAGAAATGCCGTTCTGCGTTAGTTTAAAAACTTACCTTAAAATGCTGAGGAATTGACAAAAATATGTTAGAAAAGTAACAGTATTTACGTAAAAAAAAACAATAAAATAATAAAAACCAGGATTCAATAAAGGATGCAGAAGCAGCCATTCAGTCAAATCTAACTTTCCTCAAGGCAATTATGAGAAGTTAGGTATGTTAGCTGTGCTACAATAAAAAAGGGAATTCATCACTCCAAGGTAGATGATGTTAAATCTTGTCTCAACTGACTTTAATTCAGAGCTTGAGACCACCCTAATGTTTATTTGAATCCAGCGCTTGACTGCTGTGCCATGACTTTTCATTATGATCAGAATATTATTTTGAGTTGGATGAAGAACTCAATGCTGAATGCAAAGAAAAATTTCAAATCAAAGCTGCAAGAGGACTTTCCTCATTCGTCAAGTATAATTCAACTTCAAGTGCCATAATACATGTAATAATAATGTAACTAAAGAGACAGCATGAGTAAATCTTATTCTTGGTGAACTTCAAACCTTAGTTTGAGTCACTTCCTAGGAATCAATTATCAACTGATTGAGTAAATCAAATATGTTAACTCAAACTAAAGGGAAACTAGCATTAGAATCAAATAAAATTTTTAACTTTGTATATAACTTAGTCCTAGAAAGATTAACCAAAAACATGTACCATTATAAAAATTAAAAAATGGGTTCCATTTTTCCGTTTTCGCATTCAGTAGGATAAAAATGGGGGTTCTGGCGCATTTTAATATCCACCTTGATTTTTAAGGCAACTCAGGAATTTAACCTTGAAATCAACCTTGATTTCAAAAAACAGTTCTTGCACATTTTTGAGACAACCATGATTTCAAAGACAACTTAAATCATTCACCTGTGAATAATCTTCACACCCTTTTCATAATGTTTCACTCGTGAGTTCTGAAGAGGATGTAATAATATCAACTTGAACGATCCTCTTGTCACGCCATCGTGGTGTTAATTGTTCGTTTGAAGATTTTCAAATATTAATGTTGTATCTTCTCGCAAAGAAGACGTGGCGTGCCTTGATTTGTTCTTCTGTCAAAATTGTCTTTGTAAATGAGAAGTTATCTCATTAATGGGTCAAGAAGATTCCATGATCTTTTAGGGAAGGTACGTTTTTTATTTGGGGGGGGGGGGTGGGTCGGGTTATTTTAGAAATTTTTTTTGCGAAAAAAGTCGTGGCCCTCCTACTTCCCAGAATAGATTAACGCATGACCCTTCACAAATACCTACACAAAACATCTGACCCTTCCCCCACCTCCTCCAAGACAAAAATAATCGGAAGTGAAAATAACTAACCGGAAGTGTTACTCACATAACGGCGTCTGCATAGACTTTCTGAAGAGGAAGCCGGTTAAGTCTCTTTCAACGTAAGAGTTAGATGCACACAACAGTAAAGTCATGAATGCGTGAGCTGTTGCTGAGGAGGTGTGTCTTCGAATTGACGACTCCTCAGCGCCACGGGGGTATATTTCAGCATTTGTGGTCGACCGACAAGAAATTCAAATTTTCTACAACCGTGGGTACTTGAAAGAGTATCTTGGAGTCACCAACAATCAAAAGAGATCTTTTTCGAGGCATGGGTATTTTTCCAAGCTAGAACAATTTGAGAGCCTCCATTTTGAGAGAGGAGAGCTTTATATGGAGTATAGGCGCATATCGTGTCAAGAGCGAAATGGCCAACTATGTAAATTTTGCGAGAAGGATGTGACTACCAGCGCGACACTTCCAACTCGACGATCATATCCCGACTATGGCAAGCTACTTAACTTCCATTATCTCTCTTGGAGTGCAACCCCCACCAATGGCCGTGAGCAGGACGACTATGGCAAGTCTGTGGGGACAGTGAGGCTATTAGAAATTAAAGTTTTCAGATAAATACATTGTCCTTGAAAAGCTTGTTGTTGAGCAAAAAATCGACAAAAGGGAGCGAATGGAACGGCTGAACCGGGAATACAATGACATCGACTGGGTTGGACCGTACAACTCCGATAAGCTGTCGTCCTTGAGGGTGGACGAGCTATCCTTGTACTTTTCCCATCAAAAGATCACCTTCAAAGGGAAGAAAGCTGAAAAGGTCGCAATGATCAAAGCGCACATTGGCAGCTTGCTGTACGATTCGATGGAGTGTCAACAACCTCGGCAGCCCTCACTAAGAAATATGCAGCAACAAGTGACCTCATCACTTTCCGAGGTTGAAACTGACTCGCAAGGTGATGTAGTAGATCGAGTTGTCGGTTCAAGCCCGAGTACCTTAAGTGACGAATCGTCACCGGAGACTGAATTTATACCAGAACCCCGCGTGGAAACATTACCGCCGTCAAAATATGGACGAAAGCGGGCACGGGTCGAGAGAGGCGATTATGATAGTTGGGAGAAGACAGTTTTTTTGATATAATATTTCGACACCTGTAAATAATTTAGATTAATCTTGACTGGTAGCTTTACTTGTATATACAAGTTTAAGGTTTCTATACACTTCGCGTGTTTGTTAACAAAGAAGAGTCAACTAAGCGACATGGATAAATTTTTTTCCTTCCCAAGAAAAACTGTGACCCTTCCCCGGTTGCGAATAAAACAGGTTTGAGCCTCCCAATTTGTAAAAAATTGACTAATGACCCTCCCCTCCGAAGCCCCGGCCCACCCCCCCCCCCCCAATAAAAAACGTACCTTCCCCTACAATCTCACGATCCAATGGAATGCTACATTTGTTCTAAGAGACATCAATAAACTTATTCTCCTTGTCAGCTCCTGATTTCTTCTCATCTTCAGCATTGCATCTGATCTTCGAAAGATTATCAGACTGAATACCTTCTCTGAACATGCTCGTCCTCTCATTCTCAGTCAAGAAGAGGTCCTCACAGAGCTTGAATAGATCATAACCATCAGTGTCCTGCGCGATTTCTCCTGCGAATTTCACAGTCAACCTGTCAACAAGAGCTCTTGCGACATTGTTCACGATATAATTGTTTGCGTGACCACTAACTGCCAAGTCAAAGATGAGTGAAAGAGATCCTGGCACAAGGACAACTCCGTCACCAAGCTTTGGAACTGGGACCCTAAGGACTTCACTTGGAGATGCCCTATTAGGGTGAAATGTTACTCTGTGAATTGCGCGGTCAGCCCTGAGAGCGTTTGACGTCTTTTTTTCATAATTTTTTTTTTTTTTTTTTTTTTTTTTTTTTTAACTGACTTCCATCTTGAAAAAAAATTGATATTTTATTTAAAATGGCTGATTTTGGGAGATACTGATCGTCTTTTGGAACACAGTGACGCTGATGATGATGAAGATGAAGGAAATACATCAACACCTTTTCAGCCAGATTACGATGCAACTCACATTAAGCAAGAAACAATAAAGTTCCACAAATAAACATGTGAGAAATAGTGGCAATTATGAATTTAAAAGAGTTTCGTAAAATAAATACCTGCTTTAGAATTTATTTATTTTGAACGAGTGCGTGACACGATATCGGCAGACCGCGTGAGAACTCGTAGGAATGGAGGTGCTTCGTGACAAAAGTCACGCACTTTCGGTTTCAAGCTTGCACAGAGTTATGGGCCAGGGGACTCCCCCTTTCGTTTTCACAACGCGCAACTGAGATTCTTCGTTCTCTAGCAAAGGTTTCGACTCTCTCTTCGTACTTTCTCAGTCTTAGTGACTTTTTGTGAAACATTTCTATGGTGGATTGAGGAAGCAAGGTCGTAAAACAGTCAAACGTGCCTTCCATTTCCGCGACAGAGGTAAGAACGCATGGTTGTTTCAGATTTTTGAATGTAAGGTAAATACTTTTATTTCGCGTTTCTCAGTCAAAATTTTCTCCTTCAAATGCTCTTAATCTGTCCTAATTTTCTCTGATTTCCGGCAATGAAAGACGTTCCTGCTGTTAACTGACGAGGATTGCTAACTTTTATTTGATTCTGGCGTGTATTAATTGTATTGACGCTTAGTGTGTTACTTGTAAGCTAATTGAGCTGAGCTTACACGAACATGTTACAACTGTCGAATTCACAAAAATTCTCGGCCAATACCTGACATTTACCTCAAAAAATAATTAATTTGGGAGAGTTACAAGAAATCTCCAAATTACCCATTCGATTTAGTGCAAGCGCTGATGATCGAAACACTTTCAGTTTCGTTTGCGTGTCATGTGCATGTGGAGCATGCACACGAAAGTGTTTTGCGCTAGCTTTCATGTCTGGATTATGTGTTAACTTAAATTGCTCCCGTATTTGAGATGCATTTAATCAAAAAGCGATAAACATTTCCAGCGTATTTCATGTGTTTATGTTCATTATT